CCCCCCCCGCACCAAGTAGGAAAGGACTTTGAGAAAATGTTTCTTGCGTATCTTGAGTTTAATATTTTTGCTTACTTCCTAAAGGCCCATTCCACTTTGGAATTTCATTATATTTTGTAGAATGGATTCGGTATCTTAACATACAAATCATTACTTGCCTTGGTACCTAACACAAATATATTCCAGAATTATCCCTGTACATAATAAATGCTCAACAACTATTTGATAACATGTTAGCTTTCTACATTTCCTCTTCCCATGGCATTGTCTGCTCTTAAACATAAAATTCAAAAATGCCAAGTGTCGTCCTGTGATTTTCCTTTCCTTTCTTTTTTCTATTTAAGACATGGTCTCACTGTGCTATCCAGGCTGACCTTGAACTCAAGATCCTCCTGCCTCAGCCTCCCGAGTGCTGGGATTACAGTGTATAGCATGATGATTGGCCCTTCTGTGACTTTTTTCATCGTCATTTACATGACTCCTTATTCTAAAATCCAGCCATTTATCAGTTTTGCCAATGTGGAGCCCAACTAAACATAAGGGAGAAACCAGCCAGTGCCTAAGAATAGCTAGTTTCCTGTGGATACGTGACACATCTGGGAAATCTTTTGGCCCCAAATGTTTGATAAGTTGCAGCACTGGAATCAAATGTAGCAGGCAGACTGTCAGCAAGTTGCTTAATCTCTTTGGCTTTAGTTTTCTTATCTCTTAAATGTGAGAGCAGCATTCAGTGATCTCTAAGCGCCCTTCCAACTCAGGCTTCTGTGGTCCTCCAGTTCTCAGGCCACCTCCCTCCTGAAGGCCTGTTTGTTCATCTGTAAAATGAGAGGGGATAAGTATCAAAGTCCTAACAATGTGTGACTCTAAAGGCATGAACTTCTAGCTATCCAGAAAATCTCATTATCCAGAGGGCCACTCCTCAAGGGTATGGGTTAGCCAGAATTTTACTGTACATTACTACATAGTTAAAAGGACTAATTTAATGCCCAGGAAAACATTTGGGACTGGTTAAAACTGGAAAACTCCTAATTCTTTGTAGGGAATGTTGGCTGTAATGTGTACAATTACCATCTTGCCCCTGCATGCTTTTTCCCTCTTTTAGGCTGGAGTTCTGTTCGGGATAAGACGGAGGGAGTGTGTGTATGTGTGCGTGTGTACGTGTACATACCAGATCGGAACCTCACAATGTTAGGTTTTTCTCCTGACAGTACTAATCCCGTGTTGCTGTTCCTAAGGGCACTGTTGATAAGTGGTATCCAAAGTGACACACCAGAGCAGGTGGAGTGCACTGCTGGCTACCCCCGTCTCAGCATCTGTTTCCTGTGGTGGTATCTGCTTCTGAGAGTCTGTGTTTGCAGAGCTGGTTGATACCGATAGGGAAGAATGCACTAATCCTCTGATACAGACTCCAAAAGAGGAGACCAGGGAGAAAGAGCATGACAGGATCTTTCAGTTAGCTGCCAGCATGTGACACCTAGCCGTGATCCTTCCTAAGTATTGATAGAAATGAGGGACAGGATGGAATTGGCTCTTCTAATGCCCTAAACAATTTCCCCTACAGAACTAGAAAGATGAAACGAAGCCATATCTCTGCAGAGGATGGCCAGCCCACTCTGAATTCAGTACTAGTTTCATCTTCGCCGTGTCCCCTTAGTCCTTTGTGTGCTGCCCCTACGGTATCAGTTTCTGCCTAAATTCTGACCTTCCCACACTCCTATGCATCTAACATGACTGCCCCAAATTCTTCAACTCCATTTTGAAAAGCCATGATCTATCTGCCTTGCACTCTTTTACAGCTTTTGTTCACTTCATTGCCCCTACCTGGATGACCTCCTCCTACTTCTCCGCTTAAATCCAAATCCTTCCTCAGAATGTAATCAAAACCTCTCCTCTCCATCAAGTGCTCTCTTAGGCACTCCATGCTCTACTGCGCCCAAGTCCTGGATGGTCTTCATGTACCCCCAAGTTTAAAGTTGCTCATACTCTGCCCTAGAGGATACGTGAACTTTGCCTTCTGCATAGCTCCTGGCATAGAACAAAGTACACCCAAGGTGATCTTGGTTATTTAAGGTCATGTGATGGGCTGGTATCTAGCTCAGTAGTAGAGCACTTGCCTGGGGCTGGGTAGAGAGACAGACAGACACACATACACGCTGGGTTGAACCGAGGGCCTTGTGCTTACCAGGCAGGTGCTCTACCACTTGAGCCAGTCTGTCAGCCCACTTATATTCCATTTTATCTAACCTTGATCTAATTCACCTCCAGTGGAAGCAGGCCAGGCCTCCTGGTTGCCATCAGTCATAACTTACCCTTGAGTTTATGGCCAAGCCCTCAGTGTCAGACGGGTAGACTCGTCTTTTCTGAATGCTGTCTTTTTCTTCTTGCACGTTAGGTGAGCCCCACAGCCCAGTGTGCCCAGGCGCTGCTGAAGATGACCTACTGCTCCCACTGCCGGGGCCTCGTGACTGTGAAACCGTGTTACAACTACTGCTCAAACATCATGAGAGGCTGTTTGGCCAACCAAGGGGACCTCGATTTCGAGTGGAACAATTTCATAGGTGAGCACGTGATTAATGTATTTGTATTGCTGGATGAGGCTCTATCTCTGGACACAAGGAATGTCATTGCCAGGGCTGGTAGAGTGGCTTAAGTGGTAGAGTGCCTGCCGAGCGAGCATGAGGTCCTGAGTTCAAGCCCAGTACTACCAAAAAAGAGAAAAAGAAATGTAATTGCCAGCTGTGAAGTTTTGTTTTGTGTTAATTACTTAGCGCTTGCCAGAGTCATGACTACGCTGTGCTCAATTACTGTAAATAAAATGTTACTACAAGTAAATGTTCCCTTGAACTGATGGTGGCATTTCTGAAGACAGTTACAGACAGTGACTACCAGCTTTTAATCATGAAAAAGTACTTTTTTGATATCTTCTGCCTAAAGCTTAGTTTTAGTTACACATCTAAAGTCTGTACCCTTGTAAATGCTGGAGCACAGCTGTCATGGAGCTGTAAATGTGGCTTTTAAAATGTTCTATCTGGGACTGGAGGTGTGCCTCAAGCAGTAGAGTGCCTGCTTTGCGAGTGGGAAGCCCTGAGTTCAAACACCAGTCTCACCGAAAAAGAAAACCCAAACAACAATAAAACGTTCTATGTGTTCCACTGTGGCCATAGCTTATGCAAGCTGGCCACATTTGTTCTTTGGATCAGGAGAACTCTGATTGTGGTGACTTCAGGGTTTCATTTCTACAGGAGATTTAGCAATAGTAGGCTACTCTTGTGTGAATGGGAGAACTTTGGCCCTGATAATTTAACAAATAATGAGTCCTGCGTATACCTTCCACCTAGGAAACCGTTATTGGAACCCAGACAACACTCTTAAGTGGCCAGGTTCTGAGAGGGTTAATTATCCTTTTGGTGAAAAGACAAATTAAGCCTAATTTAAGCATCGAGGCATCAGCTCCTTTGATGCCTACTTAGTGCATGCCTTAGTCCTGAACACATCAGTGGCCAGTGTTGAAACTCCCAATGCACAGTGTTAGTGGGATCTTGTGCACATGCTAACAGCTCACAAAACAAACGAATTTCCCCTCCCCCAGTCACATTTGCATAATTGCAGAAGTTGAGTGTCGTTATAGGAACCTATTTTTTTACTTATTTGTCCATATCATGGGAACATGCATGTAATTTGCTGCTTTTTTTTTTGTTTTTCTTTTCTGGTGAGGGGGATTGAGGTTGGGGAATGCTTTTTAATCTGCATGATAGCTAATTACCATGTTAACTCTGAAAGTGCATCAATAAATTGGCTTCAACAGATTTTTGAGAATACTGACACAGGAAAAAAAAAGATGTGAACACTAAGCACTTGAGCACAACTATGACCTAACAATGTCAAGCTAGAATGCCTGAAAAACCGTTCCACATACAGAAGAGCAAAGCCCTATGACAGGGAAGGCAGGGGACCAGCAGATACACCCCCCCATATCACAGCCAGAATGAAGCCAGTGGGGAAAGTGTTGCTTCAAAATATTTCACTTGGAAATAAAAGCCCATATCATTTCTCAGTGTAAAGTTTGTCCCCTCTCCTTCCCTCCCTTCCTCTTTTCTTCTCTCACTGAACCCTCATCTCTACACCCAGATGTCAAGTTTACAATTCATTGTAGTTAAATTCTTTTCTTTTTTTTTTTTTTTGAGACAAGGAATTGCTGTGTGGCCCAGGCTGGCCTTGAACTCCCAGTCCTCCAGCCTCAACCTCCTGAGTGCTGGGATTATAGGCATGTACCACCGTACCTGGCTAAATTGATTTATTAAAGAAAGTCAGTGGAACTTTTAATCTTTCCCTGTAGTAAACTGTTTTTCCTAGCAAAGGAGTAGAATTTAGCATAAGTGCAAAGAGTATATGGTGACAGTGACCAGCTTTGCTCATGTTCCTACATACAGATCCTGGGTAAAGTGCACACGGGCATTTCTCTCACACTCTTCTGTTATTCCAATACTTCCAGCAACACCTATCACTACAGTCTGTGTGTCCTTGTATTAAAATGCAAATTCTTCTTCATATTTTCTAAGACTTTACAGATCCATAGCAAATCAGGGCCATACTCTGGGCTTGCTTAATTAACATTTTCAGCCAGTTACTCTAAAGCAAGCAGACCTTCAGTTGCTGTTCTTGTTCTCGTGGTGTGTTTTTTAAATTACATGTGCTATATCTTTGAAGAAACAAAATTAAACTCAAGTGAGAACTGATAGAATTTCTGAATCATTTTTCCCTAGCTGTTTTAAATGCACTTTTTGAAGGGATAAGGTGTGTTAATTATGTATCTAAACTTCATTTTTAGTGGATATACTCGTCTTTATTTCTAATAAGCTGCTGTAAAAGGCCAGAAGTAATAGGCGCTGTTAATCTCATGTTCTTCTTTATGACTTTTTCATAAGGGTTCAGTTAATCTGCACTGAGATTATAGAATTCAGTCTCTGTTTAATGCCTGTGTGTACCTTCTTTCTTTTTCCTGTTCATCCTCTATCTTACCCCCTCCTTCCTTCCAAAGAAGTTTTCCTTGCCCTTTAAGTGAGTGCAGTTAATGAATGGACAAGGATTTTCTCGCCTCTTCTTTAAGTCGGTCGTTGGGGCTAAGTCGAGAAACTGCCTTCTGTTACTCCCGGCAGGTTGGGAGGCTGAGGGTGGGGATTTCTGATCATCACTGTCCAGTGCAAGGGGAATTACTTCCTCTTGTGACATGCGGGAGCTCAATGCCAGTGTCCTGAGCACTGCAGACCTGCAGTTGGATTACACCCTTGGGGAGGCTGAGGATGGAGCGCCTAGGTACGCCTCCTTTCTGTGCCTCCCTATCCTTGCGACTACATCTGTATATCACCAGGAATGATTAATGTGGAAGTCTTGTCAGGCCACGTCAGGATGGGTCCAAATGGGTGGAATACCCTGCAGCTCCCTTTTGTGATCATGTTTATATGAAACCTTTAGTTTGAAAAATCAGCCAAATACCTGCCCTCTACCAGCACCAAAAAGTTGGTGTCTGGAGAATCAGAAAGTATTCTCAGGTGCAGCTTGTTCTCCATCACATACCATAGCTGCGTTAACATCTATTTCATTCATAGCCAACCCATTAATGTCACGTGTTGCTGCCGGTGGGAATTTGGTATTGGTATTGCTGGCGGGAACACCAGCCAATTCCTGGCAGGAGGCAGGAGCCAGCCGGATACCCGCAAATTGAGACCTGTGGCTTCTATCAAGCAGAAGAAAAGTGAAACACCAAACAAACCATCTTTCGGTTTGTCTTGGAGCTTCTTTTCGGGGCCAGTTGCTGCTACAGAGACGATGGCTAGCCCATCATGACTTCCCGCAGGGTTAGCAGCAGCTTTGGCTCCAGGGCTGTGGGCTGTAGGCTGAATGTGTCCTCAGTCGCATTCTTCAGCCATGCAACACACGACGCCATGGCACCGGCCCCCACAAAGGCCTGCCTTCACTCTCCATTCCCAGGCCCTGTGTATGGCCGGCCGGCTCAGAGTTTACAAAGACACCAAACAGCCAGAAGAATTGGGGTTTATGTTTCCTTTCAGGCTTTCACAAACACATTAGTGATCTGGCTTTTCCTTGCCACTAGGGGAATAAGGAGGGCCAAAATGCACTGTTTTTTCTTGTTTAAACCTCTGCATTTTGGATGTTTATTATCTGTCTGTTCATAATATTTTTATTCAGAGCAATCTCTTCTTGGCTTATGAAGGAATGTGCTTTCCGTGCATGGCAACCCTGATGCTTTAACAACGATGAACACAGTTAAGTTGTGCTCTGCTTGTTTACAAAAATCTCCTTTGCTGGCACATCAAAAGCATTTTTTCTCCTTTAGTACAATGGCATATTCATGCTGTCAGCCTTTACTTAGATGTTAGAAGCATCACTTTATTGGCACTTACCACAATGCAACCTGAAACTTGATTTGTTATTACTTTAAAAAATTGCATTTCATAGAAATCAATCTGTTGTTTGTGACATCAGAATTGTAGTTTAGAGAGATGACCTTGTACATTAAAATCCTGGATAGCATTTGTCCTAGGTTGAAGGTGACCATATTTGGTTTCGTCGGTATACTGTACTGAACCATCGTCCTACTAGGAAGCTTGGGTAGAAGCTCACCTGGGAGCTGCAGCTGAGTAGGATACCCAGTCACCTGGAAAGTAGCTCTTGGACTACCTGAAGGCGACGGACAGTGGGGCTCTAAGTCTTTTTCTTGCCCTGAGTTAGCACTAGGGTGAAAATGAGGGAGAACAAATTTAGAAGTTTACTGCTTATCATTAATGAACCATCCTTTCCCTCCGTTGGGGATTTCATTTCCAAGAGTTCTTCTCCTCCTGTATGTGCAATGGGTACCAGGCAAAAACAACTAACCCTCATATTCCTAACAGATACCCGAGGAAGGAAACAAGATAGGGCATATTTTGTTTACAGGGCTCCTCCAAAGTCTAAAAGTGGCTTGCAGGTAATCACTGAATGTATACACTATGAACACACAGTTTTTGTGTGTTGTGTCTTATACTATGTTTTCACTTGAATGCAAAGAGATATGTGTTTTACTTTAGAACAAGTTGAGGCCCCTATATGTGAAATGTGAATTTTATCATAGCACAGAAAATTGCATCATTCAAAGTTTCATTATTTGAAGTCTTTTTGTTATTTTATTATTATTGGAAAGAGTTCCCGGAGCACTTTGATTTGTATTTTCCTCCTGTGTACTGAAGGATCTAAAGGGTTTCATCAAACAAAATGAAAGGGATTTTAACTAATTTCTTGTTTAGACTCTTGTAAGTGGAACCTGAAACAGAAAGGTCCCAGGGGCATTCCTGGGACAACAGGCTTGTTATTGTGCCTCTAGCCCAAGATTTGTCAGCTGGGTGCTAGCTCAGAACCCTGCAGTGGCAGCCACTGACCCATGGAGGAGTGAATAATCCATGTAATGGAAGAATCCTGGTTGGGTTGTACAACAAAATATTCATGTGGCCACGCCATACTTTAGAGTGCTAGTGATACATGGTGAGCAAGTGCAGTTTGGTTTTGTGGAAATACATATAAAAACATGAATTAATTGAGACAGGCCTTCCTACCACCCCACGTAGAGAACAAAGGCAGTAAAATAATCACTCTTACCCAAAGCCAAACCAACACTTTGCTTTTTATGCTGTGCTGTTCTTCCCCAACGTCACATTAGATGCCATGCTCATGGTGGCGGAGAGGCTCGAGGGTCCATTCAACATTGAGTCGGTCATGGACCCCATCGATGTGAAGATTTCTGATGCTATCATGAACATGCAGGATAACAGTGTGCAAGTGTCCCAGAAGGTAACAAAGGCAGGGCGCTGGGGAGGACAGCTAGGGCCCCTCTGACCTGCCTTGTGACTTCCCTGACGTGTCACTCACGCTCGCTCCCACGCAGGTTTTCCAGGGATGTGGGCCCCCCAGGCCCCTCCCAGCCGGACGGCTTTCTCGCTCCATCTCTGAAAGCGCCTTGAGTGCTCGCTTCAGACCGCACCACCCAGAGCAGCGCCCAACCACAGCAGCTGGCACTAGCTTGGACCGACTGGTGAGCACTTTGGCAGGAATGACCATGTTTAATGACAAAGAACTGAAAACATTTGCTCAAAAATGAATTTTTAGTTGGAAGGCTTACAAGCGTGGGTCTCTTAGGTGTAACTCTTCCCGAAAATTGTGCGTGGATGCAGTAAATGTGCCTCTCATTTCGTAGCTCAAAAAACTCCTTTCCACTCAAGGAAGTGGAGGGTTGTCAGTCTCAAAGGGCCCCAACCAAGGAGAAGAGGCAGTCAAGACGGTCCAGCCTTCCTAACGTAAGGTGCTCTGTGGCAAATGCTAGGGTGGAAAAGGAGCAACAGACTATCGACACACTGCTTCATTCACGGCAGTGTGCTCTGAAACTGTAAGAGAGTATTACTTCGACAGTAGGAGGAACACAGAGTCCAGGGCCCGAGAAGACACTGGTGGGTGAGGAGGAAGAGCAAGAACAGGCAAGTTTCCCAGGGTGGATAAAATGTAAGCTTCATCCTGATTCGGAAAGTCTTGAACAAGGAGACCATGTATTATCATTGTGTCTATAGGGGACTGGGCCTGGTGAGCCTCCGATGGTAGTTGTGATGGGGAGACAGTGGACTGCAGGTCTAGGAAACACCTTCAGAGTTTGCATTTCAACTATTAATTCCTTTGAGTGGTTCTGTATTTTTAAGTATAACTTAGGCCAGCCTATTTTTATTCTGACTGTGGTTGAAAATGAACTGCATATCACCGCAGAGGTATTTAGAAATGATCAAAAGGCACATCCATAGGTGGTTGTGTGTTGTTTTACGTGTGTCTTTTTTCATTTTCTGAATTAGGTTACTGATGTCAAAGAGAAACTGAAACAGGCCAAGAAGTTCTGGTCATCCCTCCCCAGCAGTGTTTGCAACGATGAGAGGATGGCGGCAGGAAACGGCAATGAAGATGACTGCTGGAACGGCAAAGGCAAAAGCAGGTCAGCCTTCATTGAGTGCACTTGAGTGTCCAGGTGACCTTCGGAGAGGGTTCACAGTTATGAGTCGAGACAAAAGCAGGTCACAGTAGGGAGCAGTAACAAGGAAGGCTTCTAGATGTTCTTAGGTGTAGGCTCCGCAGTGCAAGTGTTGAAAAGTCCTCTTGAGGTTACTGGGTTTGACAGTAGACACATTCTAGCATTAGGGCTGTTCCAGTGGTGTCATTATTTTAAAAATATTTAATGCCTGTAACTGTTGTCCTAATGACCTGGCCTCACAAAGCTCACCAGTTCTCAAAAGGTCTCTTTCTTGATGATGCCTTGTGCCCCTCCCTGATGCACTCTGACTTAGATAAGTGCCCGTTCTGAGGGCACTTTTCTCTGACCCAGCAACCTCCACAAAAAGGATAGCTTTCACGAAGGTCATGGCCAAATTGGAGAAACGAGACCGGGAAAAGGAGCAATGAGAGTTCATTACGAATCGAAGAACTTCCATTTAACTGTGCTCAGTGGAAACACTAGAATCTAGCAGAACTCTTTGATCTCTTTATTTTTTGCTTTACTGATCTTCATGGGGTCGTTTCTCACTTCAGGTACCTGTTTGCAGTGACAGGAAATGGACTGGCCAACCAGGGCAATAACCCAGAGGTCCAGGTGGACACCAGCAAACCAGACATACTGATCCTCCGCCAAATCATGGCCCTTCGGGTGATGACCAGTAAAATGAAGAACGCTTACAATGGGAATGACGTGGACTTCTTTGACATCAGTAAGCCTTTGCTTTTCTAAAGTGTGCGTTGGTCTTGGATGGCTCGTGATGAGAGCACATGAAATGAAATCTCTTCCATTTTTGAAACACAGGTGATGAAAGTAGTGGAGAAGGAAGTGGAAGTGGGTGTGAGTATCAGCAGTGCCCTTCGGAGCTGGAGTACAACGCCACTGACCACGCCGGGAAGAGCGCCAATGATAAAGCCGACAGTGCTGGCGCCCGTGCTGGGGCACAGCCCTGCCTCCTCACTGTCCTCTGCGTCGTGTTTCTGCTTATGCAGAGAGAGTGGAGATAATTCTCACACTCTGAGAAAAAGTGTTCAGCAGAAAGTTAAAAGGCACCGGTTATCACTTTTATACCATCCTAGTGACTTCGCTTTTTAAAACGAATGGACACCAATGTACAGTTTTTCCTCTGCGGCCACTGGTTTAAACGATGTTGACTTTGTTTTCTCCCTCTGTTTGAGGGGCAGGAGGGACTCGTGCATTGCACTGGTTCCCGCTCCTCAGATTCATGGTAAACGTGGCTAACGTGTAGGTGCAGAGCTGTAGTTAGCTGAGCAGTTGTGATTCTTTCACTATTGTTTGTTCGTTTGTTTTTTCTCATTTTGTTTGTGGGTTGTTTTTTTTTCAAATTATGATCTCACCTTGTTTCTTACAAGAAAACCAGGGTCCTTTCTTGGCATGTAACATGTACGTATTTCTGAAATATTAAATAGCTGTACAGAAGCAGGTTTTATTTATCATGTTATCTTATTAAAAGAAAAAGCCCAACAAGCCGCAAAATTTCCATTGTTCCCTGTTATTTTAGCTGCCTTATCTGGACAGAAGTGGAAGTGATTTGGGGTTTTTGTTTTATTATTCCTAGCTTAGGACAGAATGTGGAAAGCACAGGTAGGCTTCTGAGCCACTTGTCGGGTTGTACTTGAACATCATCAACACAAGAGGCTGATGGTTGGAAGAGACTGCAGACTCCCCATTTTGGTTGAGATGAATCACACAAGCTAAGGTCACATGTATGTCCATTTCCTAAACCATCTAAAAAAATTCTTCATATATTCTCCCTTGAAAGACAAAAAGCATTCAGGGTATCCCAGTTATCATGTGTTCATACTTAGGTTTGAGGGTGTTCTTTAAAACCAGGCAAGTTAGAAAGCCACTGTGTACCAGTTTTCATATCCACACTGACCCTTTATGAATTTTTATCCCAATGGCTGCAATCAGTGACCAACAATCTCATTTGGTTCCCCTTGGCAGAGTGAGCCGGATTTGAAACCCAGCCATATAAGGCAGTTGTCTGGGAGCTAGCCAGACTTGGGGTACAGCCTGGGCTCAGGGAATAACTGTCAACACTCGAGCAGAGTTTTCATCTGTGCACGTGTATTTGCATTGTTTTTGGATCCCAGTTTTTTTAAGAGCGTAAGCTGTCTAATTTGAGTCTTTTTGTTGCTCGGCCCGCCTCTGCTTAGTCAAGTGAAGGACTTGGAATGGTTTACAGCTGTGTGCTACCTGTACCAGCCAAGCAGTCCACTGGGGGAAGAACAAGGTGTCCATATTTCTTCATGTATTATTTTCTTTGGGGGGAGGTGGGACTAGGTAGTGGTGAAAAGACTTCACATCCAATTGGTGACCCTTAACCACATGGGTGAACTGGCAAAGGTAATATCTGTTGTCCCTGGCCAAAGACTGGCCCTTTAGGAGCCCTTTCCTTGTGCTCTTACAAAATGACACCTCATAAAACTAGGAGAATGTAACATCACTCTGAAGGGGGTTCCCAAGTCTTCAGAAATGCTAAAGTTCTGCAAGTCTCTTCCTGCTCTAGACAGCCAATAAGATCCCAACCAATTCAACAGAACCAAAAGCCCACAGAGAGGTTGTTGTGTTATTGTTCAATCTTCAGTTGTAAAAGTAATGCTCTATTTTTATATTGAAACATGATTACTTGATAGCTCAGGGTCTACATTTCATTCAACTTTTTAACACCAAAATCTGCAGAATGGTCAAAGAGAAATATTGGGGGCTGTTGTAAACAGAGGCTTAATTTTATTAGAAGTAGCCAGTTATTTATTAAAGCATGATGTTAATAAAATAGGCATATTCTGGCTGGTGTGTACAAGTGTTTTTTTTTTTTTTTTCTGAACGAATCACAGAAGACATAAAATTGAGAAGGCACTCCATTTATGTATGAGGAAAACTAGATTGTAAGTAGCTAAGCTGCCTTGGGAGAACTTGGCAAATGTGCTGATGCTTAGTAACTGCCTCAGTTGTGAGGAATTCCCTTTTTAGCTTAGACTGCTATTACTTTTACTCAGTAGAAATGAATCTAGTCTCCAAAATATGGCTCAAAGAGTTATCCTCATAGACCTTGTTAGATTGATTTTCATTTAAAACCTTGACCTCTGCCCAGCTGTTTTCTTTCAGTTAAGTTCTCTAAACCAGTAACATTTTCCGAATTAAATATTCTTGAAGGCTCTTCTGGACTCTTACTGATTTGTTTTCTTTCTTTGCATTTTTTCCTGTTACCCTTTTATTATTTTAAATTGTCTCTTGCTTTTGAACTTGAACTGTGAAATAAACAAATCATAGATTTTTCCATTCAGGTCTGACTGGATAACTCTTGGCTGCTAACCAGCTGACAGGCTTACCCCCAACCCCCAAGTATGAGCTAGAGTAGAGGCAAGTTGACTGTTTTCGAACTGGAGTTTGCAGCATGAGCTAGAGTAAAAGCCTTCTTAGGAGACGACCTGACTTTTACAAAGTTAATGTCACATGAAGGAGTTGTATTTTACAGTCATTTATATATTATTTTTCTTTCAAGCACTTCACCCACTTTGTGCCTTAAGGAAAAAAACATTTTAAGACTCAGATTTATATTTTAAAAGTAGTAATTGGCACCTATTAATGTGAGAAAAAGAAAAAGAACTGCAAAGGATTGACCTGCACTTTTGAACTTTCGTTGGAGTTTTAGAAACCATGAACTATAAATTGTTTATGATGACAGAACCAAAATTAAAATAGGTATAGATGGTGCTACACAAAATTCTGCTTTGCCTTTTATGTTGGCAGAATGTAGTGAGTTTCACAGCTAAAGGGTAGTAAATTAATGACTGCGTACTAGGAGGGAAGTGGGTGAGAGAAAGCTCATTGTGAAGCAAATATGAAAAAAAAAAAGGATTTTTACCTTTTTGGAAATAACAGAAAAGCACTCAGAAAACTCTTCCGACTTAGAATTTAGTAAGAAAAACATAACTGCGTTCCACCATACACTGTATAAGTTCACTTCTACTTTTTAATTCTGAATTGTTAAAAAAAAGTCTTTTGTATGGGAGGAATATCTGAGGGATGACACGGCATTAGGAACTTAAGTCCAGCAGGCAAGCGACATATATTTACTTAGATGCTTTAGTTTTTAATTAGGCAATCTATTGGCAGGGTTTAAAAACCAAAGCATAAAGGTACTGAGTGATTTTGCATCACGTTCTTACACAGCTCTGCCCAGTTATCCCCTTTACACAGCTCTGCCCAGTTATCCCCTCACCCAACTGAACACATTACTTGTGTTTTCTTTATACTTATAAAAGCAAATGTCAGTAAATTTTTTTTTGGCAGGATTAGCATTTGAACTCAGGGATTTTCAGTTTAAAAGTGCAGGCATTTGATTTGAATTGAATTGAATTCAGGCACTCTACTGCTTGAGCCACACCTCCAGTCCATTTTGCTCTGGTTATTTTGGAGATGGGGTCTCCTGAACCCTTTGCCTGGGCTGACCTTGAATCACGATCCTTCCTATCTCAGCCTCCCAAGTATCTAGGATTACAGGCATGAGCTACCGGCACCTGGATTTTCTTCTTTTATATACGGAAGGTAACATTTTATATCCTACAATGTCCTATTTCTTCAGGTTAGCTAAAAAAATATTGAGTAGGCGGCCTGTCTTATTCTAGAGGCCTGGTTTCTCAGTGGTACCACAATTTGATTTTTGCTATATTTTGGCCCAGACTAATCTCGGTAGTTTCTCAGGAAGCCAACACTGAGTAGAAAGAGCAGCAGTTTGACATTAGGCTGTTACAGCCCGATGCACAGTCTCAATGGTTTTCATAGCATCACCAGTTGAAGACAGCATCGACCAAAGCAACTGGGAAGGTCCTTTTAGGACATAGTACATTCATACCACTGGGGGTGCTTGGGAATGGAGAGAAGTAGCTATTCTGACCTGGAACAGACTGAGATTCTCCTAGCATAAAGTGCTCTTAATGCTTTCTTGAGCCCTGATACCAGGAAGTAGCATAAAGTTGAATGGTCATGGAGCAGTGTTTGCAGAGACTTTTGAGTTCACCATCAATCAGTAAAATTACAGAAGTCCATTCCGTGTGTTTACATGCACATTTCACTCTACTTTTAACATTTCTTTTTGAGATTGGGTCTCATTCTTGCCCAGGCTGACCCCAGACTCCTGAGCTCAAGCGATCCTCCTGCCTAGGCTCCTGAGTAGCTGGGACTAGTTGCACGTACCACCGTGCCTGGCTACTTTTGGCATGTGTGTGTGCACGCATGTGTGTGCTGAGTGCAGGGCCTCACACATGCTAGGCATGTGCTCTATCATTGAGCTAGTAGCCCTATTTTTGATGTTTCTTATAGGTTAAAAAAATTCACTGTGGTGTTGGGAAGAATAAGACCTTCATGCATCAGGCCTACCAGGTAAACTGATGAAAGATAACAAGTGTGGTTCAAGGGTAAAGACAAAGTGTCCAATGACCCAAGAGGGATAGAGATCATGTTCTCTGGTCCCTGGGGAAGCCTTTTGCAACAACCTCCTTGCACTCCCATGTTATACTTAATTCTTGTTTCTTACGTGGTAGAAGACCACTGTGTGAATAAATAGACCTAGTTCTTATTTATTCATTTATTCATTCGTTGTGTATTTCCCAACACTTAATCCTAGGTAGATCTTACCCTGTCACTTACAGGCTACCTTTCCCCAGCTGTCAGTGGTATATGCTTGGGGAATGCAGACTAATTTTAATAATAGCCTAAGGGGAGCATAATTAAGAAGGTAAATCTCCTGCCAAGAAGAAAAAACACATACATATAAAATGCGTTCCAGAGCCCGAATAGACTTTCTTAGATTTCCCCCTGCCTGGGATTTGCTTTTTCTGCATCACCACAGATAACCTAAAGCTGACTTGAACCTGCTGTTCGTGGTAACTCACTGCATAGTGTTTGGTTGGCCACAAAGACACAGTTCACAGTCGGTCAGTGACTTTTCTGTACATACGCCTTAGGATCTCAACCCTCTTGTTGGTTCATTTGGCTTTAAAGGTGTTTTTTGCCTTGGCTCTCACCTCTTTTTGAAATGGAATGAAAAATGGTTTATTCTCTGCTGTTTCTGTTCTGAATACTTTGCTGTGCCACAGCGCTGGCAGCAGCAGTGAACAGTCATTTGGACAGATTTTACTGTGAACAGAAGGAAAACGAGTTACCGGGTGCTTATTCACCTGTAATATCCTGACAAAAGTGAGCTGGGAAGAACTGTGACTGGCACTAGGGCCAGGCCACCTTGATTATCTGACACAATTCTGCAGAGTAGAAATCACTTCATTTTACAGATGAGTGAAAGTTCTAGAAGTTAGGCAATTTATGCAAGGGTGACACATAAATGCCAGAAGCAGATTAGGAACAGAGATGGGTCTCCCTTTAGAGCCTGTTCATTTCAAATGCCATTTTCCTTCTATGATCCCTTTCTCTTATTGTATGTTGTCTGAATCACCAAGAGAGACAAGGCTTCTCAAGCCAGCCATCTATAGAGCTGTCCTGGCCTTGAGGAAGTGTCAGGTTAATGGCTATGAAGAGCACTAGTTCACTTGGCTTACCTGAGTGTGGATGAAGGAGTCAAGGACCATCAGGAATCCAACCTTGGTGATCAGAAGGGCTCTAACCTCCCACAGTGGCTCCTTGTTCTGTGAATTTCAAAACTGCAAGGGCTCTGATCACTCAGGGGACAAATTCTTGAGCAAGCCATATTAACTCAAGTGGTTTTGTCCACCCTCTCCAGGACAGCCCCTGTGGGAAGGTCCCCTGTGAGAAGGCTCGACTCACTGAACACCTAAGCATACACAATCTACTGAGATAAACACCATGGTTTATGCAGGGAAAATTCATACCTGCTTAATCAGCTGGGCTCTGTGGAGAGTTTTGGGTAAGTGCAGCCCAGTGAGCATAATCGGCTTCCTTAAGAGCTCTCAACATGATTCTGTCTTAAAAGCTACCCACCTAGGTCAGAGATTGGACACAAAATCAGAGACAAACAGGCTCTGCTCTGCGTGGAGAGTCGAACAGGGTTTCTCCTGCCGGGTTGATCTTAGAGCACCCTAAACGTGACGACATTTAAAGACAAAATCCATGCTTTGGGGAGAAGAGGGTTGATCTGCATTTCCTACCCAGGGGAAGAACCCAGAGCTTTGGTTGGTTGGTTCCGTGAATACCTCCACATCCCCACCAGGCACTAGGTACTGAACAAAATGGGCTAGGCCCTAATCTAGGGGTGTTCTGGACTCTGGTGTTTGACTTCCACCTTCCAGCAAGTTCAGTAGGGACTGAGAGCTCTACAGACCTCCAAGTAAAGGCAAATAACTCTTGACAAGTCTGCAAAGAGAAACTGAGAGGCAGTGTATCTCAGACCTGAAGAATCTGGGGCTTGGGGGGAGGGAAGGGTGAATTCCTAGAACTGAAAACCAACTGCCCCCTTACAATGAATGAATGATCCCTTTTGAACACAAGAGTTCTGCCTTGCTCAATGAGCAGTGACAGGCAATTGGCCAAGGTGAAGCAGCTGATGGTGATCAGCTGATGGACAGAGTCCCTGGACTCCAAAGTTGGATCCGAGTGGTGGGGAATGGAGGCAGCTTCTGAGGTGACTGTCAGAAATTGGGATGGATCGCTCTGCTTCAACCTACCCCTTGGGTCATCAGCCTGCATGTAAATGAGGACTGGATAGACACCTATATGGCCCACGTTGTGTAGTTTCTCCACTTAACCTTCTGGAGCGTTACAATGTATGTGCAACCAAAGAATTTGAAGGTCTCGTCATATGGAAACAGACTCC